GACAGACAGAGTCAGAGTCACACACACTGTCAGAGGGTGACAGGCAGATACAGAGTCAGAGTCACACACACTGTCAGAGGGTGACAGGCAGATACAGAGTCAGAGTCACACACACTGTCAGAGGGTGACAGGCAGATACAGAGTCAGAGTCCCGCACGCAGCACATACCTAAAAATATAGACACAAGCCAAACATGCTGATAAATCCAAACATATATGTTCATTCCCGCAGTTTTATCCTTGTGTGCCAACCTTCTTTAGAAGTGCATGTCTGGCCTATTTTGGTCGTAAGATCCTCTTGTGTATGTGCGCACACAAGCAGGTACATTGCTGACGTGATTGTTTAATCTGGTGACTCTTCTTGAGTCAGTTGTATGCGTCTGCGTAGGTGGCTGTTTTACTGAGCGTCCGTCTGGGCACTTCTGCTCTTCTCGGTGCCTTTTGTGCGACAGAACAGCAACATAAGAATATTTATACATATATAAAAAAAGAGAAAACGGTAAAAGAGCCATTGCTCTGCCTTGGTTGCTGTGCTAATGCCAAGATTCTATCAATGAGCTAAGACCTTGTTCCCTAGGAAACAGTTATGAATGAAAGGTAGCCGGTAACCGTGGAAACCGGGTGAGTGCAGAACGGTCCGTTGCTATGGCAATGCCACAAATTAAAAAAAGACTGTTGGTGGGAGACTTCAATCATCATCATCACCATCATCATCATTCAAATAATAAGTAAACTAGCAAACTAATCACTAAACAAGACAGATCTGTGCCACTGAGAAATAGTGTTCTCCCACACACACACACACACACACACACACACACACACACCGTCAAAGGGGTCTTCCCAGAGAAAATCTATTTCTCTTTTAGGAATAGTACTTGTACTTCTGAACATATGATCACCTTCTTCCCAACGCTTGTCCTAGTGAGAATCTTGATGCAGCATGACCAGCAGTCACAGCAGACATCTTTCTCCATGGCTGCACACTCCAGCCTCCTCTAGGGGATCCCCAGCTGTCCGCAAGTCGGATGGGAGATTATCCCTCTGGAGTGTCGAGGGTCGGCCCCAGGGCCTCTGCCCTGTGGGGCCCATCTGGAGCAGCTCCCTAGGCAGCCATCCAAGTGGCCTGAAGTAGCAGCTCTATTTTGAAGTTCCTCCAGATCACTAAACTCCTCATCCTGTTATGGTGAGAGGCCAGATAAAGGACCCCCTCCAGGAAAGACACCTAGAGGAACCAGAGTCTGGATTGCAGTTAGAGCGACCTGCCACCGGGGGGTGGTGTTTGCTGGCAGGTGTCCGGATATGTATAGGCACAAACACACGCCCACTCCGGCCCGGCCTGTCTCCCCGGCAGCGGCTCCCTGTCATTCACGGTGCGATCTCGCTGTTTTCCCAACTGGGCGGTTGCGTCCCAGCTGAGAGTGCCGCCGTCAACGCCTGCCAACCACCTCCCCGCTCGGTGTGAATCTCTCCTTCCATGTGCCCAGCCATCGCCTACACCCCCCCCTCAATCTGCATCAGCGGGCTCCCCGAAACGCAGCGGGGGGGGGCCCTTCCCAGAATGACTCCCTCCGTTTTCACCATTTCACACTGCAGATCCCTCCCAGAGCTTCCGGCAGACGGTGGCCTTTTCCAGTGAATCCAGAATTGTGGTTCCCGGAAGGGCAGGCTGTTGTACCTTTGAGATATGTCATCAGATTTTACCAGCTTTGTCTCACTAAAAGCAATCTAGTTCCATATATAGATAAAAATGTCACACAGATCAAAGAGTGATGTCATCACATCTCCCAGCATCCCTGACACAATATGGTGACTCCCATCATTCCTAGTGTCCCACCAATATTACCACCATCTTTCTTCCACTGGCAGGAGTTTGAAAGAAAACACCACGCCTGTCCCTCCCTACTTTCACTCGTTCGGTATCGAGCTTCTTTGGCCTGCATGTTCCATATATACTAGGTTCCACAGGGATACCACAGTTGCCTCGGACCTCCAGGGTCGGGGTCCAGCTGCTGCCCCTGGCTCCGTGTATGCGGTTCCCCACGCTAGTGCATGACTACTCCTGCAGTCCAAAGCCACACAGTTAGGTGAATGGGCATCTCTCAAGTGCCCTTAGTGTGTTAATGTACCCCTATGGATGGACCGGCATCTTGTCCAGGGTGTCCCCTGCTTCGTCCCTTGTGCATCCTGGGACTGGCTCTAGATTTACAGTGATCTTGTACTGGATAAGTAGTTATGGAAGATGGATGGATGGATGGATGGATAATAAATATGGGTCAGGATAGTCCAGTCACGGCTGCCTTATAAACAAACCCTCCCCCTTGTCATAGATAACTTCACAACCGCTTGGCCTTTTCAGATGCCAGCTCAGAAACCACACCCCCTAATTTGCATATCACTGTTGGAGAACCAATGGCAGGATGCCATGATGGCCCTCAAGGCAAGCAGGGTGTCGGCTGCTTATTTAACATGCCCCGGTCATCGGTCACCCGTCCTAACAGACTGTACGTCTCTTTATCCTTCTGTCTCTCTTTTTCCCCTCTCTCCGTGTGACTAGTTTTTTCCACTTTCCATCATTTCTCCATCTGTTTCCCCCCCCTCCCTTGTAGGTGTAGCCCAGCAGAGAGAGTGCACCTCTCCCTCTAGTGGCAGGTCCTTGTAAGTGCGGGCTGGTACCATTCAACCCACCCCCCCAAAGCCTGGCCCCTCTAGTTCCCAAACGCGCTCCCCTGACCGGACAGCTACAGGGAGCGCTTTGGCGTGAGCCTGCTGGGGGAGGGGGCGGCAAAGCCATGCTGATTTACAGCTGGTAGATAAAAAGATAGGAGGAGAGGAGAGGTGACAGGGAACAGAGAGCCGGGGACAGAGACGGAGGCAGGGACAGGGACGGAGCCGGGGACAGAGACGGAGGCGGGGACAGAGGCGGGGACAGAGACAGAGGCGGGGACAGAGACAGAGGCGGGGACAGGGACGGAGCCGGGGACAGGGACGGAGCCGGGGACAGAGGCGGGGACAGAGACAGAGGCGGGGACAGGGATGGAGCCGGGGACGGAGGCGGGGACAGAGGCGGAGCCGGGGATGGAGGCGGGGACAGAGGCTGGGACGGAGGCGGGGCGGGTGTTCGCTGCGCTTCCTGTTGTTCACTGCTCTCCACGTCTGGCCCCGGGCTGGTGCCGTTAAAATCTTTTTGGCTGAATGAGTAACAGGGCTGTATATCACAGCTTTTAATGAATGAGCTTTTACTGAAATTAGCATCTTGCGTACCAGATGGGGCGGGGGGGGGGGGGTGCTTCTGTGAATGGAGATCCATGCCCTGGCTTGACCCCTGTCATCCTCTTTCCAATCTCCCTATTTCATTCCCCCCCCCACCTTCTGTCCTCCCCCATTTATACTCGCAGTCAGCTTTTCAGCTCACTTGTGTGGTGTACTGTCCCCCATCCCCCCTCCCCCCCACACACACAAACCCCAGAAATTTCTCACGCCGCTTACCCTTCCAGGTGCATGCTGGGAAAACAAACCGCTCCATTTAGCCGGGAAATCTAAATATTAATTAATAGCCCTCATGGAAATTACGTCGTGAATCCTCCCTGAATGTATGTAAGGCTTGCCTTACCTGTATGTATTTCCGTATTTTATTCTCTGTAGTATGTATGCATTTTTTATTTTTAGGTATTTATGAATCTGTGCTCTGTGTTAATGAGTGTATGCTCACCAGAATGCTACTAACTACCTGAAAGCTCTACCTAGAGCAGCTAACATGATCTACAAGGCAGACCACTCAAAGGTCCAACAGGAGTTTCTAACCGTCGATTCCGTCTGAACTGCTAACACAGTATTGGTGACATCAGCTTACAGACTGACAGGAACAGTGGCTTTGGCAGGTTCCAAACTCTGTATAGGGTGGGATCACCGCTGGTCCTTGTTTTGCCTGCTGTACTAGCTTGGCTAAAATGACAGTGCCCCCCCCCATGTTAAAATGTAAGTGTGTTATGCTGTTTCTGTTACCCATTGAGCATTTCCCATTGGCTAATCATCTAGACATCTCACTCTCTCCCACAGGATCCTGTCGTGGGTGGGGTCAGACTTTGACCTGCGGACTCTGCGTGCTGTCCGAGTGCTGAGGCCCCTCAAACTGGTGTCTGGAATTCCCAGTGAGTGAAGCACCTGGGCCGGGGGGGCGGGCGAGGTCTTAGCTACTGGAGGAGAGGAAGTGGCAGAATGCAGGAAAGTAGACTAACTGATCTTTGGCTACAAAGCACAGTGTTGGTTTTCTCATTTACTTAACATCTGAACCTGGGTTCGAGTCACTCAGAAGATGTAGACGGTTGCTATAGTAACATGGTGTGTGCCTTGCAGCTGATCTGTGCTTCCTCCTCCAGGCCTACAGGTGGTGCTGAAGTCCATCATGAAGGCCATGATCCCGTTGCTGCAGATCGGCCTGCTGCTCTTCTTCGCCATCCTCATGTTTGCCATCATTGGCCTGGAGTTCTACATGGGCAAGTTCCACTTCACCTGCTACGAGAACGACACCAGTGAGTGCCCCGCCCGGCCGTGCCCGCAGCGCCGCCGCCCCGCAGACTGACGGTCGCATGTGAGGTGCCCACGAGCCCTACCCTGTTCTCTCTGCTTCTCCAGACGAGACGCTAGATGAGCTGCCCTGCGGAATCTCCGAATCGGCACGCCAATGCCCCAACGGCACAGATTGCAAGGGTAACTGGGCGGGTCCCAACTACGGCATCACACAGTTTGACAACATCCTATTCGCCGTGCTCACCGTCTTCCAGTGCATCACCATGGAGGGCTGGACCGACCTTCTCTACTACGTGAGTGATGGCCCTCACTGGCTAGCCAATTCCCCCCCCCCCATCTGATCCTGTCCCATCCATGTGCTCTTTCACACTCTCCTTCCTGCTGCTAAGAGGGATGTCCCTCCCTGGAAGCCGGGGGCGTTATTCCGTCTGGGTCACGATGAGTCACACACCAGAGAGTCACCTGACAGCTCATTACTCATGGCTGCCTCAAGGGGGCGCTCACAAACAGGCACAGATACACACAGAAATGCAGACAAGCTTATTCAGTTTCATTATTAGCAGGCCCCTTTCTTCTCGACCCATCGCCTTGCTCATCGTTCTCTGCTGTCCTGTTTCACCCTTTCTCAGTCCCGGTCAACTGCTTGGCCACAGGTATCCTTATGGGAGTGTGGGGGAGGAGAGAGATTAGGTGTGTACAAGAGAAAGGAAAAAGGCGGAGGGAGGAGGGGGGCAGGCACTGTGCTACCCCAGCCCCGACTGGCCAGTGCGACGTTATGGAGGCTTGCTGGAGCACATGCACAGCACCCTCCAGTGACACCCCTCCACTACTGCCCGTCACTGCATGCTGATCCTAGTAGCCGACTCTAGGCTCACTGCAGAAAAGTGGCCCAAACCAATTCATCTCCCCTTCCAGAGCAACGACGCCGCTGGGAGCGCCTGGAACTGGATGTACTTCATCCCGCTCATCATCATCGGCTCCTTCTTCATGCTGAACCTGGTCCTCGGGGTCCTTTCCGGGTGAGTTGGGCCACCTGTCCTGCTCTAACCTAAAGGATGTCCATCTGTGTCCCCGTACACATGGCACACGAGAAAGAGTGCCGCTGACAGAAAACGGGACGACCATACGATGTGTAAGCAGTGGCTGAGCCAGAAATCATAGCATGCGTGGGCCAGCAGACAATCAGGTGGGCCAGTCACGTAATATTTTACACTACAGAGCCGTGACATTAATAAGACCAAGTGAACAAAATGAAAGAGAAATCTATTAATCTCTAGACAGCACATTTTCTCTGATTGCTCTAGCAACGCACACACATACCTGTCAGACACGACCTTTTCATCGTACTGTATCGCTCACTCCGAGCGCTGAATGGAGGGCCCTGGACCACCCGCCCATGCTGCTGCAGTAGTGTGTAAGTGTGCCAGGTGTGAGACACATCACTTGTCTTCCCCAAACGACACAAGTTGACTTTCAGCAGAATAACTAAATCGGAATCACAGCTTTTCAACACGATTGGAACTTGTCCCTTCTGGTGACAGCAGTGAGCTGTTATTTTGCCCTGACACACTATGTGTGTGTGTGTGTGTGTGTGTGTAACAGGG